CCCAACGGCAAGGTCGCCGAGGCCATCAAGCGCATCTCCGAAAACGCCTCCCACCGCATCGCCGCCATGGCCGGCGAGATCGCCCTCCGCCGCCAAAAGATCCGCGACGCCGGCGCCGCCAGCATCCACTCCCGCCCCCTCGTCACAATCACCCACAAGTCCAACGTCCTCTCCCAGACCGACGGCCTCTTCCGCGCCACCTCCAAGGCCGCCCTCGCCGACCCCCGCTTCGCCGGCAAGGTCTCCGTCGAGGAGCAGATCGTCGACTCCATGGTTTACAAGCTCTTCCGCCAGCCGGAGGACTACGACGTCATCGTCGCACCCAACCTGTACGGCGACATCCTCTCCGACGGCGCCGCCGCCCTCGTCGGCTCCCTCGGTCTCGTGCCCAGCGCCAACGTCGGCGAGGGCTTCGCTATTGGTGAGCCCTGCCACGGCAGCGCCCCGGATATCCAGTTCCAGAACATTGCCAACCCCATTGCCACCATCCGCTCCGCCGCCCTCATGCTCGAGTTCCTCAACGAGGAGACCGCTGCCGCCAAGATCTACGCCGCTGTCGATGCCAACCTCGAGGAGGGCAAGCTTCTCAGCCCCGACTTGGGCGGTACCGCCAAGACCACTGAGGTTATCGAGGATATTCTCCGCAGACTGTAAGGTGGTGGTGTGATAGTATTGGATGGAATTTTTTTTATCTTGAGAGGCTTAACTCATGAGGACTGGATATGGCAGTCGACGTGACGGTAGTTGCGCCTTTGATACCTACCATTTTACCCAAAAGCATATGTTTCTTGACTTGACTTTAGCCAGTGTTCTCTGGATGTGCATAACGCCGAAGTGAAAAGACGTCAAAGGGCTGGAAGGAGAACAGTGCGTTCTGCTGCTCCTCCACTTATCAAAATCTGAACAGGGCCGACTCGACAATCAGCGATTCCATGTCGGTCCACAGTGGACATGGAATACACTCACGAATAAACCACAACCACTCCAACTCTGCCCCTATAGGCCGGAATCCTCGGATGGAAAGCAATGAGCGCCGTCTGAATGTGTCTATGACCTAGTGGTGGACGTATTTACGCATAAATGGGTCCCGTAAGGGTTGCGAGTTTGAATTTGGTGGTCCTACATAATGCCACAGACAGCTCTTTTTTTTTCTTTTTTCTTTTTGTATGTTTTGATATGATTCCCGAAGAACCTCAACTTGAAGGGAAGCACTACATGGACATGATTTGTTTGCAGAAAATCAAGAAAGTCTTGTATTAGGGGGCGTCTATGCCTTGTACGCAGCACGCAGTTCGTCTCTCTATGGACGAAGATGAGTATCATTTCTCACCAAAACCACATCGCACCAACTATCGCTCTTCCAAAAGCCCCTGTTTCTGTATCAAAGCTCCTCCGCTGTATTCCATTATCTCCAACTGCCTCGTTGATGCAAAAAGTCGCGTAGCCAAAGAAGATCTGATGCCGCCTCAAGACCACTCGGACTTGCGCGGGTCGAATCTGCGGCAGTGACCACACTCGCAGACGAAGCCGTACTTGTAGTAGAGCACCGAAGGGTCTTGACCGTATGAGATCGTCAGCTCCTCGCCCTCTTCAATCACCCAGTCCCTGACAGTGAACACAAGAGACTCGTGACTGGCACGGTACTTGTAGTCAATCTTAGGCAAGCATGAGTGATTGAATCGGCCCGCGACGGCGAAAAGACCAGGCATGTTCCTCTTATTACCCGACTTGGATGGGACATATGCCGCGAAGCTGTCATTCAGTCAGGTTTAGAAAGTCGAAGAGAGAATGGGAAGGACCAGGTGACCTACGCGTTCGTGTTCCAGACCGCTTCCTCGTGAGTCTCACCATCCCGGCCTTTGTGGCCAAACATGTTGTTCGCGATCAGGCGCTCCTTCTCCGGCAGGGATCTTACAGACGTGGTCACGTCTGCGTAAATTGCATGGTAGAGGGCCTTTTCGACGAGGATCTGGTCGCCCTGGTACAGCTTCTTACTCGCGAAAGCGCCCCAGCCAGCCGTAGGAGACTTGCGAACCTCGAAGAACTCGTTCGAGAAGATTGACAGCCTCTCCTTGGTGTCTTTGGCGTTCTTGTAGGTTGTGAGAAGCGGCAGTTCAGCAGGCTGAAGAAGGATTGGTGTTTCAAGCTTGCCGAAGCCATGGCTGTGAATTGTTAGGATAAGTAGGAAGTATTTTAAGGAGAAGACTTACCCTTGGTAAGGTCCTTCGGAAGTGACGCTGCTGGCACTTGAGCTTTGCGACCAATCTTCGTAATAGCCCTCCTCAAGTTCGTAGTCCTCATCGTCATCATCATCATCATCATCTCCATTGTCATCACCATCGACCACAATGCCTTGCGCAATGTAGACAGTCTTCCAAGTAATCTGGGAGTATGGGAGAGGGGGCAGTATTGAATCGATGAATGCCTGGAACTCTAGGAATTCAATTTTGATTCTCTGTGTGTGATAGCTGTCAGCCCGTTCCTTCTACCTTCGGATTCCAAGGTCGCACTTACCTCAAGCGGCTTGCTCAGGCTCAGGATATTATTGGCTATTTTGGCTTCGACGGCAAGGTCAAGGACAGCATGAAGGCTGTATGTGTCGGTGTGAAATTTTGTCCGGACTTGAAAGTCGACAAAGAAGTCGTCGCGGGCCATGACATATCTGTGAGGATGAATCGCTCCAAGAGGGAAAGAATTAATGACCTCCATGGTAGAAATGAGGTAGGTTGATGATGTAGTTGGATGATGTAATTGGGAAGTTCACACTCAATGTGATTCCGGGTGCCCAATCTCTTAAATATGCTCTCCTATGGTCGCTCTTGCTTGTTTTCCTTCTTGAAGCAATCAAGGGAAAATGATCGGTGATACTGTTGCTAGAGGCTAGAAAGTAAAGCTTGATGCTGCGGTTCCAAGAACTTATCCTTGTTTGTGTGGTCGGTGTTGGGGATTAGTCCAGATCAAATGACCGCAACCAAAATGAGAAAGAAAAAAGTGTTGGCTGCACAGAACCTATTTTCGTCAGCAAAATTTCAGTTGCCAAAATGTTGCTGCTCTCGTTGTCAAGTAATTATATCACGGTGTGTCAACATACCGAAAGAAGTATGTGCCAGGATTCACGTGAGACGAATATACCCGGCGGATATTCAGAAGCAGAAGCCTAGTGGGAACAAAAAAAACAGAAGATAACCAACAACCTCAATGTTGTAGAAGTCGAAGAAAACTGTTGCTTAGTTGTCCCTGTTTTGAAGCAAAAATCTCAAAAGCTGAGCAGAGGAGGTGAAGGCCTAATGAAGAGTGAAGAGAAGATTCAAAGAGCTCTGGTTAATTGAGGCCGTTAAGTAGCTTGGATGGCTTTATATTCAGCTCGTATTCATTCCTTCCTTTCCTGATCTGATGGCCAAAGTTGGGAGGTACGACCCACCCGATATTATGAGATCAATTCTCACGGCAGGGGCGAGCAATCGCAGGTGGTAGTTTCCCACATCATGCTTTATAAAAGTGAAATAAATACAACCAAAGAAACAGCGTGAGAGCCTCATAAGTTCGCTTTGTTCAAAAATTCTTCTATATAAACCACGACTTCTCTCATATGGTTGTGGTGAAAGAACAGCAGGTATGGATCATTTCTCAAGAGGGAGGGAACCGGGGGCTAAACCTCAGTCTGATTGGAATTTGAAGTCAGTCACCTTTCACTAAATTAATCATCTTGAGTACTGATGAGACTTGAGACTTTCGAGTATTACTCAAAGCACATGTCTCCAACGATGAGGTCTCCCGAATAAGGATGGAGGGGCGTTCTTGAGGCCAGAGACTCAATAGGTCAACCGACCCGTTAAGGCAGTATCTTTGAGAATGAAGCTCTCAGAAGAAAGTCATCTGTCAGCACCTCGGATTCTTGGAACCTCATCTTTACTTCTTCCTGCAAGTCTCGCTTGGAAAGGGCCTTTGAGTAGGTAGGTAGGCACATCCTCTTTATAGATGTCTTTCTCTTAATGTATCCACTGAATAGTCTTGAGTTGACGACAACGGAGTATGCAATAGCAACATGAACGAAGGAAAGAAACGCTGACAGAACGAGAAGCACAATAACAGAGGATCATCTAGTAGAATCATTGGCTGAAGAGCCTACTTGGATGGAATCGCTTTAGCATATGTGGTTGAACCCAACCCGTTAGCTTGAGCCGTGCCGCCGTACCGATCCAGCCACTCGACTGCCACCCATCGGCCGGCCCAAACCCGCGTTAGCGTCTACTGGTGTAGAGAAATGGCGTCCGAAAACTATGGTAGGCAAACAAGACGACAAGCCAGGCACCGGCCGGCACTACGCTCTGCATGTGTTACAACGCAAGCCCGGAACCGGAAGACGAGCCGATTGCGACAATGCTGCTGCTAAATGCAAGTGTTCATCCGTCAACCATGGCCCAGGCGTAACGTCGCAGATTTCAGCCAGCGCCCTCAACAAACCGGGCGTTGCTCCCGCGTTTCAAACAAACCGCAGGCAGGGAGCGCGCTCGGTCCAGGAGGTATTTGGCCTGAGCAGAAAGCCAAGCCTCGTGGGAAATCGAGAAACATTCTGACAGACGCCGCAGATCAAACTTGCGTCTTCGGAAGAATATCAGCAAAGTGGTAAAGTTGCGCAAAGGTGAGGGACAATGTGAAGCAATAGTTCGCACGGTAGTGTGTGCCTATGACTGCTTTGGCTGCGCTTGTCAAACCCATTTGCCTGTCTAAGAAGACACTTATGCATGTTGACTTACAATTCCAGAGAGAGAGAGAGAGGCTGTGGATCTGACGCTGCGACAATAAGCAAGGTTTCGACTTCTGAGGTCTAAAGCAATGAGTCACTTGTGTTCCGATATCCACAATGTCTAGATGCGCGTTCTTCGGGGAACCAGCCGGGAGGAAAACTTGACGTGTGCGTAAAGTACGACCCAATCGAGTCCGCCACGAGTTCTTTCGGGGCATTTGTTTCGCGCTTTGGCAGAAATAGTCCGGAGCTTATGCAAGGTCCTCCCGCCGGGAGTAGAAAAGACAAAGGTTTTTTTGAAGTATGCAGGGACGAGAGTAAGAGAAAAAAAAAAAAAAGAGGGCGCAAGAGAGACGCTTGGTGTCGCGTAGAGACGGAGGTATTGCCTCATGCCGGTGCATGGCGAAGTCGAGCGAAGCATCGACAGACGGACACATGTCTTGAGTCGAGCATCATGCCTGATGACGTACCTCAAGGGTCGAAGGTTCGTGACGGGGTCAAGCATGCGTGGAAAGCAAAGCAATGTGGATGTAATCTGATGAGAAACGTTGCGTGTCCTGTCGAAGCTTTGCCCTGCTTTGTTGGGATAGGGATAGGGCTGATAACTGTCTAGCAAGAGTTGACAATGTCTAGGAGCATCCATGAAGACCTCGTCAAGTTCACGGAAGGGAACATGAGGTGCAAGCGGGTGCGATGGAATTAGCCACACCAAGAAGCTGAGAGGGACGGGAGTTAAGATAGTCCTGCATTGGCTGGCAAGTATGCGCACCGCCTCGTTGGGATCGATGATCGCACCGAAGGAGTGGAACATTCCACGTGAGGTCCGGAGCCGGTAGACCGGCGGGTGATTCCTCGACTCGGACCCTTCCATGCCGCCCACTTTTCAAACTCTTGGTCAGGAGTCGCATCTTATTCCTTCGCACTGCATTTTCCAAACTCGATGAGACGCCCTGTCGGCCATTTAGCCCTTGAGTTTTGAAGAGAGGGAAAAAAAAGTTCTTTCTCTCGGCACTGACACTTCTGGTCAACCCACAGACGAGCGAATTTTCTTGCACCCCGGGGCAGGGTTGGTTTAGAGTCTTGGTGAGCAGAAACGACAAGAAACTGTGCTGGTCTCCATTCCGTGGGCTCTGGAGTCTATCCGAGCTTCAGAGTTGCAAAGAAAGCTTCTCCTCCGTCCGGCCCCGCGTGCCGGGAGACCCGTTAGCATGGTCAGCCATGCCCGAAGCTCACGCCTCGTTCGGTGACTGGGCGAAGACGCAGCCAGGTAGCAAAGCTCAATGTTTCTGCTGCCCTTTAGGAAGGGTTCCGGGTCCGATGTTCAGGCTCACTTCATCATTTATCGTTGCAACTTGTTAAAGTCACTGCCCGATTTTCCATGTGTTACCCTGGTCAACTCGCAAATGGTTCCTTTTGCCCGTCTTGTGCCCGGAAGGGGTGTATCATGGCCCATCTGGTTCGCTTCCTCTCCCACCCCCTTGGGTAGTCTTGATCCGCCAGGCTTCCACGTCCGATCATCGAACGCAGCTAGAAGGACCGGGTCTCGCCAGGAACCCATGCCGCGGTGACCCTACTTCAGACGGAGAGCTACGCCCTCGGCCGAGTCTCAACAAGAGTGAAGCCCACATGCGCAGCAGGCACATGTCAAGTAGCTTGCCCCAATGCAATGCGCGAGCCTCTTTTTTTCTGTCTACACTTTTGCTCTTGTTGCGTTTCCCTTCTGCAACCAACATTCGTCCTTGCTTCGGCATTTCGTCATACGGTCCGATGGGATGCCATGCCATGCCATGCCCGCAGAACTTTCCTTCAGGGTGCAGCCCGCCGGGGAGATATACAAGCCATGGACGTCCCCGTCTCTTTCGAAAGGACGAGCTTTCGTTATCAACCATCCCATGATTGAATCAGTCCACTGTTATCAGAAGCATTACTCGCCTTCACTTGCAGTCTACACATAAGAATGAGCCTTTCTTCTCACTGGTCTGCAGCTACTTTATCACATTTTTTCAGCTTCAACCATCAGACTCATTGATCGCTCATCACCAGCCGACTTGTCACCTCATTTTCCTCGGACCCATCATCTGTACATCAAGCAAGGTCTCTTTCAGGTAAATACATACCAACTCTTAGGACAGTAGAGCAAAGTACTCATACTAGTCAATAGATCTCATCACAATGGACTACAGAAGCTCAAGTAGATCGAGCCGTTCAGGTTCTAGTCAGCAGTCAAGGCACCGAGACGCCAGCGGAAGACTCAACGAGGGCTCACATTACGTCAAAACCTCAAGTAGTGATCGATCACGCGAAGTTCCCCAGGGCCGCAGCGGTTACAACCGAACCCGCGAACATGGTCACGGTGTTTCACCGAAAGGCAGATCCGGATACAACTGAGTCCGGTATCGATCAACGCTGCCATTTTCTCCAGCAACTACAAGAAATCAGCAAGGATGAATGCAAATAGACTATACAAGAAAGGGTTCATGGGATAGATATTGGAGAGGAGGACACATTTTAAACCCAGAAGGGGGCAACCCATACGTAGAATCAAAACGGTGATTTCCAACGATGCAGGCAGGGAAAATCAGTATCAATAGAAGTTCCGATTGAATCAAGACTATTCCAAGTATCAAGGACCACTTCCCAGTCTAACAATACAGTGTTTCCTACCCCTCGAATCCCACTGAAGTCCTGTTTTCCTCCAGTTTCCCCTCAATTTGAGAGCGTTTTTTCCCAATCAAAGTCAATCAAGAAGCATTAACGACCCACCAATGCTGCAACCAACCTTACATGCTGGACAAGAATGGAAACAAAAGACCAGCCGGCTAGGTGCGTGAAATGCGCTTCCAATAAAGCTGAGTAGCGACAAAAAAGCCATCCCGTCAGGCTGAGCCCAGAACACCAATGAAGAAGAAACCACCCTAACAAGTTATTGCAAATAGCCACACCGACAACCAAATCCAGGCTAGACAGACAAGCATCTCAACTCTCACAAACATTTGTGGAAGCACGTCTATGTCTAGGCATCACACCGGAGGTCTGAAAGCACTCTTCACGAGACAGTGCTCACACTCAATGTACGACTCATTCGACGGCACCCAGTGCAGACGCCGACAGTCACAGACCGACCACCTCTCTTCCGTCAGCGACGTGATGAGCTTCCTCTTTTCATACAGACCGTCCCTAACGCCGCACTCGATACAGAAGCGACGTAAGAGACCTTCCCCATTCCGCAGTGTCGGAAGCCTCGACTGCTCCTTGTCACCATCGGCTTTGCCGGCGTACCGCCCGACGATACAACCTTCAGACGACACAACAAAGTAGTCGGGCAGCTTCTCGAAGGCGGCCTCAGGCTTGATCGTGTGGCAGCGATAGCAACCGTACCCCTTGGGTGAAGCTGCAGTAGCACCAGCCTCCTGAGACTTATCCCTTGTTGTAGAGTTCCTCCTGCCGTCTCCTTTACCCTTACTTTCTTCCTTCTCCGGCCACGCGCAGATCTTGGGGAACTTTCCTTCAGCGTGGATGATGAAGGCCGTCTTGCAGGAGTCGGATGCGTACCACGACTGGTAGCCCTGGGTGCGCCAGTATGGCCCTCCATGTAAGGAGTCCCAGTCGACTTGGTCGAGAATCCGGTTTCGGAGGGCAGGGCACATGTCCTGGAAGAAGTGGGAAAAGTCATTGTATGGCCTGGGGAGAGTTGATCTCGAAAGGGCGGAGAAGGCGACGATTGGCGTAGGCGGACTAGATCCGGTTACAGATGCCTGGGTTGGGCTGGATGTCTGGTTTCGTTTTGGTGGTGTAGACGTTCGTCGATGACTTGGGAGGTTACTGAGGAGCCTCGGGCGTCTTGGAATGGGTGTAATGGATGGGTCTGAGGCTATGCGACGTCTTGGGGCAGCAGTCGAGCGACGTCTTCTAGCTTGGTGTTCGGCGGCTGAGAGTGCCATGTTGAGGGTTGTTAGATTTTCGGACGATGTTGTTTCTCTTGATTGATTCGATTGATCCTTTCGAGTAGACGTTCTCGTAAGCGTTAGGTTCAAGATAACTTTCATAGACTGAACCAGGCAAACCTACGAGTAGGAGTTTACGAGAATGTCGAGACTGAGAAAAAGTTCAACAAAATTTCGTGTCAGATGGGATGAAGATTCATATGGCAGATCGGAAGGATTTCGAGGTGTAGCCCCGGTCGTCTAGTTCTTATACACTGCCTGGGAGATCCAGATGCTTGGATATTGAATTTGCATGAAGGACAGGATGCCAGGCCATCTGAACAAGCGTCACGACGAAGCAAGGAGGAAAGAGGATGAGGAGGAGCCAAGCAAGGGCTAACAAGCGTACCCTGCACCTCCAACAAGAGAAGGAGACGAACAAGCACGCGCAGCAGCGGCTACACACCTGACAAGGGGAAGGGGGTATAAGTCTTGCAACTTGCAGATAATGCATTTCAAAGTCAGAAGTGGGCGATTCACTTACCTCTTTGGTTCATCAAGACTTACCGTAGCAACCTATTGCCAGCGGCAAGACTCGAAAGTCTTGAACTCCATCCCATTCGTACCATTCCTTCTCATGTCTTTCTGCTTCTTCCTACGTCCCGACCATCGGTCATTAGAGTAACCTTAACCATCTCATCTTCGTCTGCCATCACTCTCGACACCACTATCAGCCCGTTCCCGTCGGGACAAGAATTTGCACACAAACACGGCTGCCCGAAAAGCACCATGACATCCGCGGCTCCTCGGAGTCTCGATTCTTGTTGGTCGACTAGACGAGGGGACATTGCCTCAAGGCCTATCGCAGGTTCTGATACCCTCACCGGCCGGACCAGGGTTTCCCTGCAGTTGCAGATCGAAAGAGGCACCTAGACTAGCTAGACGCCATATTCAGACTGAGAGATTTTGACGGCACCATGGCACCAAACCACACGCAGGGGATGGGTGGAGGATGAAGAGGAGAAGGGGAACCAGGCCTGGGTGAATACTTATTTGCCCTGCAGTGGCGTCATGCCAGAGAGGGAAGAAGTGGAGAGATGGGAGGGGGCTTTCACTTGTCAATTGGCATGAGGGAAAAGCAAAGATGGACGGACGTTCGAGTTTCTCGTAGGCCGTGGGAGACTGTGGTAAGGTATTGCACCAACAAGCGTGTTGCACCTTGCAAGGGGGGGTGTTCGACCAGGTTCTGGGGCTCCTAGCAGCCCGGGTTTTGGGACCGCATCTCTGTTGGCGGTTCCCAACTTCCTGGAAGTCTGATTTGAACACGGCATGGAGAGACGATGGGGGGTGGTGGGCTTGTCCAGGACTGGACAAGTTGCACAATAGGGCTGGTCATGTAATACCATCAACCTTCCGCTCACCAGTAACATATGCCCACTTCAAAGCGGACACTCTCCGTCGCATCGGTCTAGACAGCGTCTATCATTCGAGACCTACATTAGGTAGAATATGCTTAGAGCAAGTTGCACTCAAGTTGAATTGCAGCTGTTTCTTTCCAAAGGGGATCAAGGGCGCGATCTTTCCAAGACATTATCGTCCAGCATACTTACTGAGGTTTCGGAAGCGGATCTGGAACACTACCTGCCCTCCTCTGCATCAAAGACATGTCTTCCCAAATAGGTAAACAATGTCGTTGATGGTGACAGGGGGAGGCGAGTGATGCCTGACGGGTCTCACGAGTCACACATCGACAAGCCAGCCCAACGCCACGAATCGTAAGGGCGGAATTGCGGATGGGGATATGCAACCTGCACAACCGTTTGTAAGTCGCGCATCATATCCTTCAACCACGTTCCCCCGTCACATCGTATACTGGTATTACACAACAAAGAGGTAGAGGCAGAGGCAGAGGCAAAGGCAGAGGACGGAAGCTCCCCGCTCCACTGCGGTCGACAATTATGACCAGCCGCTCGAATCGCCGACGGTGCGCCCAGAGCAAACTGCATACGAGAGCGGAAGAAGGGAGATTACACGACGTAGCATCTGGTGTGATAAGTGTGACGACCCAGCGTGTCGGTTCCGGCGTGCTGGAATTTATTCAAATTCCTGAACGTGCCGCCTCCAACAACCTGGCGAAAAGTAGAAATGAGGTGAGTTGGGACGGGGGATCGGAACCCGCCTTTCCCTCCCCCTGTACGTTCGGCCGCGGGTCGAGGTCCTTCTGTCTCGACTCTCTCTTTCGGAGTCTCTCCCCTCACAGCCCTGCTCCCCTTGTTAGCGCTGGTCGCAAAGCCGCAAACAAACAAGCGGGAACGACGTTGGCGATGCTGGTCTTTTTGCAAATGCCCTGAGTAGGCATCGATCCAACACCCTACCCCCGTCTCTCCTCGTTGGCAGGACAGGGGTTTGATTGGAACCGTTGCAACCATGCAACCAACATCGAAAACAAGGGTTGGTCAAGGCGCTTCGCCCTTGAACATATGTATCCACATCCTCCGGGGGCCCTCGAGGCGTACATCCGGAGCTGGAGATTTGTGTTCCTGGATCTTGGGCAACAAAGGAGGGTTTGACTCTTGGAGTCTTGATCTACTCACCTTCAAATCTATCCTCAACACTCATTAGAAGAAGCTAAAGGAGTACGGAGGACCACGGACTTGGAGGCTCTCCTCCTCGGTTCTAGAGCCCGCCTCCCCGATGACAATACGCTGCTACTGGGGGAGATATCCATAGGATGAACGATTGAGCGGGAAGCTTGTCGACAACCTTGCCAAAAGACCACCTCCCTTCTCTCTCATTGTATTTGTGTTTTCCTCTTCCTCGAAGATATTGAGTAGTCTCAGAGACGTTGTGCAACCCTCCCCCATCCCACCATCCTCCCAGCGTCATGTACATCCGACAACCCGGAAGATACCTGCAAGTTTCGATCTGGAGATGTTGGTGGCCATCTGGCTCGCTCGCTCGCTCCCTCCTCCTCTTCTTCTTCTTACCTTTCTTGGTCCGTGATCCCCCAAACCGCCTACTATACCCTCTTCTAATCGATAGCATGATAGCATGATATCTGCTCGAATGTATCTGTTTGCTTCCCCTTCCCAAATCCCGACCCATGCTCAGAGGCCGTACGGGCGCTGCGGTCTCGGCCGTTGACGAATCTGGCCACCTGAGCCGAATCATCGCGCGCGGACTGCGCTCCGTGATCCTTGGAGTTGATTGCTCTTTGATTCGGTAGAACTCGCTTTGCCGCTGGCGAACATCTCTTCGGTTATGGCATTGGCGAGTCGACTACGCAATACATTGACTGTGATCAATGTACCGATATATGAGTGAGAGCGTGTGGGCAGTATGCGCGTGTGCAAGACTTTTGGTCAAAGTTACGAACACTGCATCTTGGTTCGTCTAAGTCGACCGGGGAACTCGAGTATAAAAAGAATACAGATTTAGTGCAATCGCCCCTCTCTCTTAGTCTTC